TACAGCCGCTGCGGCCTGGGTAACGTTGCCCTGCTTTTCTGGCAGGCTGCCAAACGATCCCGGTGAGCGACGTCACGAAACACCGTTGCCAGAGATGACAGAGGGCTTCTCAAGCACCAACGACCACCAGCCGAACCGAGCCGAGTTGTGGTTGTTGCCGTTATACATCACTTCCATCAGTTGTTTAGTGAAAAAAAAAAATCATTCTGCTGTTTGATGTGTTCAAAATAACCTTGAGCAGGAAAGGATGTGGTTTATTCCTCCAGAAACGTCGTCTAAAGCCACAGTGCTTAGACCCCTCCCCCCGAAAGGGGCATTTTGACTGTGTGCATGTGTGTTCCTAACTGATAAGGCACCTCGACATGGTCTAGCAGTGCCAACGTGAAAAGGGACAGCAGGGGACATTTCGAAGCGGCTAAAGTTTTGCCGAAAGATTCTGTGGAGAAAATGTTTGAAATGAAATCCTGCAAGGGACGGAGCAAAACATTGCGGTTCTTGGTTGTACGCTAGTTGATGCAGTATTATCAAAGCACATGAAAAATTACGGACTTCTTAGTTAGATGGAGAAACAAGCTGTGAGTTATAGTTGTTGCTTATTTCCACAGATTTATTTTTTGAAAGTGTTTCAGTATTCGCTTGTGGGCAGTTTGGCTTTGTTGAAGTTTCATCGCTTCATCTTCTTGCATCTGTCTTAAGCTGGCAAAACCCGACTTCCGGTTGCTTTACAAATGACAGAAGCGCGAATTTGATCGCTTCCACGTCTTTTGACCAACGACTGCCTGACTTCCACTCACCATTTTCAAGAAGAATTCTGTCGAATTTTCTTGATAAAGGTCAGTCAGTTTCACAAATTCTTTAGTTCGTTCAAATTTATACACCTTTCAAAAAAAATTGTTGGCTTCTCATAATATCGTTTTTTATGCGTTGTTGCATATGTGTAAAGTGGAAGAACGCGTATTGGCAAGCAGCTGTGCGTGTGTTTGTTTATTTGTGTGTCTTGTCACCCACTTTCAACTCGGAAATCAGAAAAGATAGAGGGCTGAAACTTTGGGAGTATGTGTCTACACCATGTGCAACTCTCCCATTTTAATACCATCATCCACGCGCGCCTGAGTCCCAAGTACAAACGACTTAAAAAGGATGCAAATTTTTTGGCCGAAAAGCGATCTCGGGAGCCAAACAAGATAGCGAGCTGAAAATTTGCAGGGATATTCTCTCTACATCCTTGAGCTAAATATTTCAAACTCAGCCCGGTGGGTTCCTAGGTTTGCGATTACGAGCATGTGAAAGTTTTGGCGGGAAAATTGCCAACTCGGTAACCAAGCTAGAGGGCTGAAATTTTAAGGGAATCTTTCCTATCCACGCACAATTTAAAGATTTTAAATTCAGCGGTCAGGTATCCCTAGTGCTCGTGTACGAACGCGTAGACTGAATTTAGGGTGAAAATTACTAACTCGAGGACCAGAAAAGCTGCGAAGCTGAATATTCATTCCTTGTCCAGTCTTAAAAGTTTCAAATTCAACCTCTAGGTTTGCGTGGTTCTCTGTACGACCAGTTAAATTTTCGGGAAAATTGCTCATTGAACAGCCTGGTCATCTTCATAGAACGACGGCCTCTAAACGGAAATTTTTTATTTTCGTTTATTCAATATTTGCGATGATTTACGGTAGTGAGCGCGCAAGGTGGATGTGAGGCAACAACCGTTCATGCAGTTAACCTAATCACTTCAAGTTTGGTGCGAAAACGTATGATCGCGCCGGCAAGCTTGGTGCGTCCGAGTCTGGGTTTCTTTAGGATTAAGCCTACTGACGCATAGCGATTAGACACAATACCTCTATGTATTTTTGTGCGCTTGGTTCGTTTTCTTTTGTAACATCTGTTAAGCAGTCTGGATTAATGCAGCAGAGTGATACTTACTGATGCTAGCATACCAAGAGCACCTCGCAGCGGGTAAAAGACTTGCTAAATATTTCTTTCGGCAGAATCGTTAAACTAATAATTCCTTCAGAAGACAAAACG